GAAGATAAATCGTCCAAATAAATTATTAGATATTTTTTTATTTGATTTATTTAATATTTTTTTCAAATATTTATTTTGCGGCTAATATCACGTGCAAAATCATTGAATTTTGTTTGAAAGAAATTAAAAAAAATCAATCATAAATGATCCTCCTCCGAAAACACAATTATTAATATCAATATTTAAATTTCCTAATATATCAAAATATTTACAAAATAATATCTAACTATTAATAAAATAATTCTCGGAACTAATTCTTAGAAAATCCTTTACGATATAAATTATATTATATATATATATCATCAATTTTACATATTCCAAATATTTTAATTATTTTAGATATATTTTTTTTTCATTTTTATAATATTTAATATAACAATTATATTCAAATAAAGATTATTAAATTAAGAACAATCAAATCGAAAATAAATATTTAAATTATCTCAAGATATTTCAATTTTATATATAATCATTTCAAAATCTAATTATTCCAAAATATAAATCATTATAAATCTATTACATTATATTTTTAAAAATTAAATATAATCATATATATATATATATAAATTCCATTAAATTCCTTAGAACAATTATTCCAAATATAAACTTAATAATTCAATATATTATAATCGAAATTCATTGCAAAATTATTTTAAATAATATTAAATTTCTAAATTTCCAAATATATATTTTTTATTTATAAAATATTTCCTATAATTCATAATCTAATTATGTATATATATATATTTTTTTCAATAAATTTCTAATTATAAATATATTATATATATTATAATTATATATAATATTTTATATATTTAATTATTAATTTATATGTTAATATATATTGAATATAGTTTATTTTACAATATATAATTATCAAATCTATATATTCTAAATATATATTTTATTATTACATAAAACGGGACGCCTGTCGAGAAAGTGGGCGCCCCTGTCGGAAACCCGACACTTGTACCCGGAATTAATCCAATACATTATATAATTATGCCAAAAGTCCCAAATTTTCCGGAATTTTCGGACGAAACCCCGAATTTTCACGGAAATTTGGCGATTTAGGAATTTCCTAAAGCGGCAAATTTTCCGGAAAATTGGTGCTTCGGGATTTTGACTGAACCGCGAAATTTTCCCGAAAATTGGTGCTTCGGGAGGTCGACTCAACCGCGACTTTTGGCAGAACAACTCGCATCGCAATGCCTGATTTGGGGGTACCCGAATTTTAGGACAACGGGATGCTTGTCGAAAAAGTGGGCGCTCCGGTCGGAAACCATGTATTTATAGCCGGAATTGATGCAATACACCAGTAGTACCGCACAAGGAGGTGGCGGAAGTTTCAAAAATAGGAAACCTATAGGAGAGATTGGTTGTTGTGAATCCGGGATGGCAGAGCGAATCCACTGATGGACCGAAAGGTGCTTGAGGTCTCCTCTCTTTCTCTCTCTTTCTCTCTCTTTCTCTGACTATCTACCTACCTACCTATCTATCTTCTATGTCTCTATCTATCTATCTATCGATCTATCTCTGTCTCTCTCTCTTTCATCTAATTACCTATCTATCTATCTGTCTGTCTGTCTGTCTATCTATCTATCTATCTATAAATCTATCTCTCTCTCTCTATCTATCTATCTATCTATCTATCTATCTCTCTCTATCTCTCTCTCTCTCTTTCATCTGTCTATCTGTCTAGCTGTCTACCTGTCTATCTGTCTATCTGTCTATCTATCTATCTATCTGTCTATCTATCTGTCTATCTGTCTATCTGTCTATCTGTCTATCTGTCTATCTGTCTATCTGTCTATCTGTCTACCTGTCTACCTGCCTATCTGTGGTGCAGTGTTATTCAGTGTAATGTAGTGTAGTGTAATGTAGTATAGTGTAGTGGGATGTAGTGTAGTGTAATGTAGTGTAGTGAAATTTCGTGT